CATAACAATACTTAGTGCAATCATCAACAAAAGTGATGAAGTATTTATTGCCACCACGTGACTGTGTAAACTTTAAGTCACACACATCACTATGCACTAAGTCCAACGGCTCTGAACTTCTTTCAATAGAATGAAACGAAGATCTTGTCAACTTTGCTTCAACACAAGTTTCATACTTGTGTTTCGGATTAATCTTAAAAGATGGTATGTGATCTAACTTAATTAATCTACGTAAAGATTCAAAGTTCACATGTCCTAGTCTACCATGCCACAAATTGGAAGACTCAAGCATGTAAGCAGAAGAAGATGCATCTTTATTCATCTTTGGGATAATAGTCATTACATTGAGTTTAAACATACCCCCCAACATATAACCCTTACCCACATACATTCCGCTCTTGGTCAAAACGACCTTGTCGGACTCAAAAACAATGCGAAAACCATGTTTGCTGAGAAGAGACCCTGAGACAAGATTCTTATGTGACATAGACCCATCAACAAGACATACAATCTGAGCGACAGTAGAGACAAGAGAGGATAAATAAGAAAACTCACCGGTCATATGATCATTGGCCCCAAAATCCAAAGGTCAACTTCAGGACCACCTTTCCTTTTCCCTCAACAATGAGGTAGCAGAATTAAACAACTTCTTACCATTTGTAACTGGCTCTAAAGTTGTAAACAGCTTCTTCTCAGAGCAGAGAAAAGCAGATGTAACGTGTAGCCCCAGTATCAATTCACCATTCTCTTGGGTTTCAACCCACCATATTCACCTCAAAGACAACGACAGACAAGTACATGGCATCCTCATCATGGAAGTGTTCTTGCGTATCTGCCATGTGAGCACGAGATTTGGTTTTGTATGGATTCCTCTACTTGCGACAGTCACTAGCTCGATGCCCCTTGCTACCACAGTTGTAGCATTTCCCAAAGAACTGATAACTAGGTTCCTGTGGCTTGTATGCTGGCTTGTTTGCAACACCACCCCTTGGCCCCAGCTTTGAGCCCTTGTTCATAGGGGCCTTCTTCCTCACCCAGAAGATTTGTCATGCTCAATGACATTGGCCTTCACAAAGGAGGTACTCCCTCCATTCTTTCTATTATCCTCCTCAATCCAAAGTCGGACAACCAGCTCTTCAATTGACATTTCCTTGCGCTTGTGCTTCAACTAGTTCTTAAAGTCTTTCCAACCATTGGGAAGTTTCTCAATGATCACAACAACTTGGAATGACTCATTCAAAGGCATCCCCTCAGCATGAATTTCATGTAAGATCACTTGGAACTCCTGGACTTGGCTTATCACAATTTTTGAATCTACCATTTTGAAGTCCAAGAACCGGCCAACGACAAATTTCTTTGCCCTGGCATCCGCAGTCCTGTATTTCTTGTCCAGAGATTCCTATAACTCCTTTACTGAGCTCTTGGCGCAAAACACACTGTAGAGTGAGTCTGCCAAGCTGTTGAACACATAGTTCCGGCAAAGATAGTCTATATGTTTCTATGTGTCAAGTGCCATGACTTTCTGCCTGTCTGACTCATTCTCTTCCACAGCTACAGGATCCTTGCTCAAAACCTTTGCAAGGTTCAGCATGGTCAAGTAGAACAACATCTTTTATTGTCATCTCTTGAAGTTCACCCCAGCAAATTTCTCTGGGCGCTTATGGTGACTGAGCGGTCCTCCAGCAACAGCCAAAGTAACACCAGGGTTGACCACATAGGTCACAGTTGGGGTTGGCAAGTCAGTTGCCCTAGGGTTCAAATCCCCACCAACATTAACAGTAGCAGCATCATTGATGACGGTTGCCATTTCTGAAAAATACAACAAAATATCACTTTCTGTGTTCCAGAAATTAGACTTAACCCTTAGAAAATCCCACAATTGGAAATTTAATTCAAAACTAGTCTCATCACTAAACCTAGAATCGAACATGGTCAAGAATGTTCCCAAAAAGACTGGAGGGAAAGCTTTATATATATATATATATATGTATATTCTACATTAGTTCCATTCTTTTGAGCCTTACTAAAAGGGAAGTCAATGTAATTATACCAAAACTGTTGAGCTTGTGTTTTTCTCCAAGCCTCAGTTAAGGTCAATGTAATTTATCCAATTAAATATTTAGAAAAATCATGTTGTTGCTGTGTACATTTTTTGAAGGGAGAATTTCAACATAGTGGGATAGATAAAAAAAAATAAAATAAAATAAAATTTACAAAAACATATAGGGTTTTGTGATGGGGTGCAAGTGAAAGGTTGTGAGGGTACAAGTGTGACTTACACCCCTCCATGTTTGTATAAAAAATAAATAAAAAACTTCTCCCACTGAAATATAGTTACCCCTTTTTTGAAATTGAAAATAAAACTTCACCAATTGATAATAGAATAGATATTACTAATTAGTTTTAAACCTAACCTACATTATTCAGCAATCTGTTCTAAAATAAAGATATAAAATTAAGAGCACCCACCACTTATATATAATGTAAACGTTGAAATTGGTGTGAATGTCAATTTCAAGTTATTTCACTCATTTTCTTATGCCACTACAAGAAAAATGAGTTTTAGCGACATTCATTTAACGGCGTTTTATTAAACGTCACAGTTTGATAATATTTAACGGCGTTTTTTGAACGTCGCTTTTTTTAAAATCAAAACGGCGCCGTCTCAGTAACCAAAGGCGCTTGAAAACGACTTCGAATGTCCTGTCTCTCTCTCTCTCTCTCTCTCTAATGGGCGAGCGGTGAATATCAAACATAAATACATTTTGTAGCCCTAACCTCTCACTCACTCATTAGTCTCTGTCTCGTTCTCTCTCACTCTCTCTCTAAACAGTCTCAACGGATCGATTCATCTCTCACGGATTGATTCATCTCTCGTTGTAGCCCTAATCGAAGTTCTCCCCCTCGATTTCGATTTCGAAATCTATGTTTAGGTGATTCTCTCCCTCTCTCCCTCTCTCTCTATATATTCATCCTTTGTTCTCTGCGATATCGATCTGAAGCTCTGAAGCTCTAAAGCTCTGGGAGATTGCGAAGAGAGAAGAGGGGTTGGTTTCGATCGCAGAGGAAGTGATCTCAGGAGAGGCTATGCTTAGATTTCTCAGATCGGTCTCAGAGCGATTGCAATTTTGAAATTCATCTCAGAGCGATTTCGATTTGAAGTTCTCTCTCTCAATTTCGAAGCTTCACCGCGAGGTATTGATTTCTCTCTCTCTCTCTCTCTCAAGCTCTTCCTTCCCATCTCTCTTGATTTGGTTATTGAGATCTATTGCTTATTTGTGTTGTGTGTGTGTGTGTATATATATATATAAATGTTTGGTTTCTTCGTTTTTTCCCCCCCATTATGTCACTGTGTAGCTCACCTGAAATCTTAGTTACATTTTCCCCCCCACTATGTCAATGTTTAGCTTACTTGAAATCATAAGGTGCTGTTGTTACCTTTTCCCCTTCTTCTGTTTGGTGATCTCTTCCTTTTTATTTTTTCTCTTTAAAATTAAAATCAAGGGTTGAAAGCATACATTTAGTTTATTTCAGTGTGAATGAGCATATAGTCAAATTGTTTTGGGGCTTTATGTAGCATATGGATTTTTCCTTCATTCTAATGACAAGCTGAAAGTAGTTGGTCTCCTATGCTTGTGGAGTTGCACAGATAATCTGCTCTCTAGGCCTGTATTTATTTTCTTTTTCATTAAAATTAAGACTACTGCAAAAATTTTCTTGTGCTTTAGATTCTAGCATAACTGAGCGCTTATGTTTGTAGCCACAACACTATGAAAACAAGGTCTGTGCAATGCTAGCAAACCCAAATTTCTGTTTGATCCCAGATTTGACACCCCAAAGTAGACAAAAATGAAATGGAATGAAGTCAAGTATTTGATTTTAGTGTGCCCTCATTTTTCAGTATTTCATGTTTTGCGATGGTTGATAGTTAAGCTTGGCATACTTGTCGAAAATAAACTAAAAAATAGTTAATCTTGCCATCCAAATTTGGTTATGCTTGTGCTTGATTGGGTTGATAACATATTTTGTTCAGTTTAATGGGCTTTTTCACATTTAAATTGACATGCAAGGTTTTGCTCTTATTGTTTTGGTCTTTGTTTTTACATTTGTGCCACTGTGTTGCAGGTATCAAGCATACAATTACGAGATGACCTTTTGTCAATGTTAGTTTCTGGGCATGAGACCACTGGTTCTGTGTTAACTTGGATAGCATATCTTCTGAGCGAGGTATTACATATAGTACCTTTTATCTTAATGAGTGTACCTTTTATCTTAATGATCTGTTTCTCCATTTTCTGTTGTTTACCATAGTAGATTCTATACTTCTTGAGGATTGGCTTGATGTTGATTCAAGGTCTAATAGTAGTGTGCCAAATGACAAAGAGGAAAGTGGTTTTATTTATTTGAACCGTTATATTGAAATTCATTTATCTTTGCTTGTGACACTACATATTTGGCTTCTTCCTGTTGGTATAAATTATTAACTGTAAACTTATTCTATTTCCTACTTTGACCATGAGCTGTAAAAAGTGCATGTAATGCTATACGTACGAATCTGCCCTATAATACTACTAATCTGTTTCCTACTTATTCTATTTCCTACTTATTCTATTGGTATAAATACTTATTCTATTTCCTACTTATTCTATTTCCTACTTTGAATAGTTGATAAGTTTAATCCATTGTGATTTTAAATTTTAACATAGAATGACAAACATCTTATATAATTGTATTCCATTAAATAATTTTGTTTGGGATTTGTTTCAAGGTATCCTCAGATATTGTTGCTAGATAGATCATAGAGAGGGTCTTCCAATGCCCTCTAGTATATATAAGTACACATTACACAGGTGCAGGCATGATATTAGATGTTAGATACTAAAGGTATATCTATCTATCTATGAGATGTAATCCGTATGCAAGAAAAATATGAGTTGTCTAATTGTGAGCCATCTTAGGAGTGTTTATGTCAGCCTTCTGCAGTTCTTTACCCTAATTGCTTTCATGTAGCAAATCACAGGCACATTGTTAGATCTCCAGTTCTAATGCGGGAATTGTGGCTTGAGATGTGGCATGATAACTATCCTGATTCAAAATCAAAATTTGTTACAAAAGGTGGATCTCTTCTTTCTTAGTTCTTTTTGTTTCATTAAATTGTTTTACCTCTTAAATTTTACATGGAACAGCTAAGCGTGACCTTTGAGGGAAGATGACTGTTATTGGGATTATGGAAAAGTTCGTTGTGCATGGCCTGAGCATTGTGAATATAGGTATTTTTCTTACATGTTTTTTAATTATTTTTTCGAATATTGTGGTCATCAGTTTCCCTTATTGCATTATGTACAGATACGTTTTATTTTGTGAAAGGGCTCCTAAATTTTCTACTTTCATTTGAAGAAAACTGTGAAGAGTTATCTTACACAACATCAAGTCAACATTCACAAGGACCCATAATTAATATATATATATTCAATGCTAAGAAATGTTGACAACAGATGATGTTGATAGCGCACTCAGCTTAAGAAATGTTGAGGTAATTCCATTTCAAAAATATTCAATGCTATAGCTTTGCACTGTGTTAATTCCTATGTTCTATTTATATTCCTATAGGATTGTGCTTAAATAGCCATGTTTGACCATAATTATCATTGCATGGTTGATAGGGAACAACCAGGATTCTTCAGTTTTGGCTTAATCTTCACAAGTAGAAACAAGAACGATTAAATTACAATCAATTTGCAATTTAAGTGATTATTTCTTATCGGAACGACTAAATTACAATCGAGGTGTCCTACCTTAATTCTGGTTGACCAACTTAGTTGACAATTCTAGTTGACCTTTGAATGGCTAAAATATATTGCTTTTAGCTTGCCACTGCTCAATGCATGTGATGTGGAATATCTAGATGATGGCTCTGATTTGATTAAAAAAAAAAGCTTTTATGTGGCAATATTGAAATTTCCATTTTCCTTATATTTTTTTTCATTCTTTTTATCTAGCAAGATGATTTGCTCTAATGATATGGTCGTGGTCTCACCTGATGTTGGAGGGGTGGCCAGAGCACGTGCTTTTGCAAAAAAATTATCTGATGCGCCTTTAGCCTTTGTGGATAAAAGACGGTATGGGCACAATCTTGCTGAGGTACTAGATTTTACAATGATTTTTTTCTCTGTCTTGCTTTCTCTAGGATCCTTTTTTTAAGGGTTTGGGTGACTTGCTTACTTATATAATTGTATTCCATTAAATAATTTTGTTTGGGATTTGTTTCAAGGTATCCTTAGATATTGTTGCAAGATAGATCATAGAGAGGGTCTTCCAATGCCCTCTAGTATATATAAGTACACATTACACAGGTGCAGGCATGATATTAGATGTTAGATACTAAAGGTATATCTATCCCATAATTATCATTGCATGGTTGATAGGGAACAACCAGGATTCTTCCGTTTTGGCTCAATCTTCACAAGTAGAAACAAGAACGATTAAATTACAATCAATTTGCAATTTAAGTGATTATTTCTTATCGGAACAACTAAATTACAATCGAGGTGTCCTACCTTAATTCTGGTTGACCAACTTAGTTGACAATTCTGGTTGACCTTTGAATGGCTAAAATATATTTGCTTTTAGTACAATCACCTGCTAATATATTTGACCTTTGAGGTGTCCTACCTTATGCTATGTAAATTGATTATTATTTTAGTACAATCACTTGCTAATGTGTTACATCATTGATGTTGGACTATTTTTTTTTGTCAAAACCATAATGATCCTGTTGTAAGATAGACCATGATTTGATTGAACAGTTGTGCTTTGTCCTTTTTAAAGTGCAGGGATTTGATCGATTATTACAGTTAAGAGTTGTGATATCAATGGAAAGAATTGTTGCAGCTCATTGTTTGTTATTCTTTTTCATGAAATTTTCTTAATGTCCATTATTTTAAATGCTATTGTTCAGGTGATGAATCTCATTGGTGATGTTAAAGGAAAAGTTGCAGTAATGGTGGATGACATGATTGACACTGCTGGTGAGTTAAGTCATCTAGATGTAAAAAATCCCAGCTTATAGGCCATTAATTAGGAAGTGATTTCAAAAAGTGAAAATTCAAAGAAAAAGAAACTTAGTTTATCATGCAATTTTCATGGCGAGTTATTAATTTCAATTTCCAAGTGTTGTCCATCATGAGCAAATATCCTACCACTTTATGCTCCAAAATTTCTAGACTACATTTGCATTTAAGGCTGGTTAATACTAATTGTCCATCCTTGGTTCCCTCTCTCACGTTTTTCAGGTTATCAGGTTCAACTGTTATTAATAGAATTGGTCTATGATATCTAATGAGAAAAACAGAAGAAGCTGTTCTAGCATATTGATTAATATGGTTGGCTTGTTTTTCTGTGTTTTAGCAATACGGACCATTGACTTTGAGTCTTTGAGAGGTATGAGTTTGATCATCTCCCTTGTCGGCTTCCAGACAGTTCAACTTATGGGCAAATTACTACTCTACTCAAGATTCAGCCAAAAAAAATTTAAAAATTTTCTTTTTGGGACATGCAGCAATTGTTTAAAGCCTTTAAGACCTATACTTCATTTAATGTTAGGTCTTGGATCTCAAAAAAATTGAGCTGTTACTTCTTCCCTAATGCTTAATAAGGAGTAAAAGAGTAATTCAAAAACACTAATTAGCGTACCAACTAACACACTAATTAAAAGAAGGGCAGGACATACTAACTTCCCCTATGCTAATTTCTTTTTGAAGAAATGAACATGAAAGGTTAACAAGATTACATAAATACTTTGTTTTATATTTCATAAGCATGTCTCCGAATTTATTTTGTAATTGGATATGATGTAGGGGTGTGACGCATCAATTCTCCTTGATGGTCCAAATTCAGAGAAAACAGCACCACAAAATTTTGTTACTTTATGATTGGCATTGTAATCCAAAATTTTGCTTTGGTTAATTATGTTGATTTCACAGTAGGATGTCATCTACTCCATGTTGAATTGCTTTGCTGAATAGTTTGATGTTTATGCTACATAAATAGAAAGTTTCATTTTCAAGATTTCATAGAAATCATTTACATGAAGCTAATATAAACATGATGGAAAATTTAGAGTTATATTTTATATTTGAATATGTAGTTTGAACGGGAGGCATTTATTCTTATTCAAAGTCCAAACCATAATATAGGGAGTGATATTAATTATACTAACCATTTACTCTTCTCAAAGTGATTGAATAGTTGGAAACAAAAATGCATAAAATGAAAATTTATTGAGAACATGGGAACAAAAATGCATAGAATGAAAATTTGCTTATGGAATCTTGACTTTGGAGCAGTTTCTTGACCGCCTGGTGGATCTGCCACTGCTTTGCAATCATATTTTGCAAATATCTCATTTACATGGTACTCATGTAGAGCTTATTGCATTTATAGAGCATACTCTGGCTAGAATATCATCAAGCCACTTGATATCAAATGGAGGCAGCAGTTCTTTTACTGATCCCCACAGTGGTTCTATTCCCACTACAGTGGAGATGGTGGAGGTATAAAATTAGTTTCTTCTATTGACCCATGCAATGTATTTAGACCCCATAAACACCAATCAGTTTGATAAATTTATTTCTTGTTGGATTGACTTTAGTTGAACTATTATTGTGTTTGATATTTTTTGTTAGAATGGAATGTTATTTTAAAGCCCTAACATGCTTCAATCTTCTTCAAGATCCCTTCTTGTTCTCCGCCTCCTTTTCTTGTCGCCAGTAGTGCTAGAAGCCATAGCTGGCTTCAATAAAAGAGCCTTGTTCTTTTAATTTATTATGATGTTCTATAAAATTGTTATGGTATTATGAAGAATGGATGTACTTGCAATTATCTTACTAGTCAAATAGGGTTACAAGAAAATTCAACCTGATCTTCTTAAATTCTTATGTAAAAGACATATAAGATAACTGAGAAAAAGAAAACACACACACACACAACATATATATCTCTGTATCTTCATGTACAGCCATGTCCTTTGTAGATTGAGTTGAGGTGGCCAGTCATTGCAAATAAGACCAATGACTACACCAAAACCAATTTCACCCCCTGGGAATTCTTCAAATGTTTCCTTGAGTGATATTCCTAATCCTCAGAAGGTATTACATTGTATTTTATTTTTTATGAATAAGTACGGAACTGTATCAGATGGACACCAAGGGGGTGTCACCCCTGTACAGCAAAAGAAAAAAAAATTAATTAGACACAAGAACCCCAAAACTAAATCCCTTCCCTAAAATGTAACTCCTATAATATCTACCAAAAAATAAAAAGTCTCCTCGAAAAATGAATAAATCAGATTGAAGTAAGCTTTATAGACGTCTGTACATCCTTAGAAGGCATTGTATGTATTGTTTTCAATAAAATTATTCTTTTATTGGTTTTATTTATTTATTTTAATTTACACATCTAAGATGTTCTTTGCCTCCAATTGTCTCTCGGTCTTTACAAATGATCTCATCACAGAATGCAACTGCCGTTCCAGCAGCTGTATTATCTTCTTCTTCCGGGTTTCTACATTCTTCCAGGGCAATTACTTCGAGTAAGTTATTTTATCATGCTTGCCATTTTCGATATTAAATCCTCATTTGTGCTCAAAACACAAATGAAGCACTTTTCATTTATCAACAAGAAAAGCAAACAAGTGTTGCAATTCTTTGTAATAATAGTCTCTCTTATTCTGTGTGCATTGTAGGTTTGCTCAAGCTCTCTCTATTGAACATGAAGTTTTCTTACTCAATTTACAAATGTAGCTCAGTATTCTATGACAAACAGGTGCAACGACGTGGTTTCATGAGGTGCGACCTATTAAAAAAGATGCAGTTTCTGTATCAAGGTTACGTAGCTGTGGTGTTATTTTTGTTGGAAAGGCAAATATGCATGAAATGGGTCTAGGAACAACAGGAAATAATGCAAACTATGGGTAAGATTCCATGTAGTAGCTATGTAAACAAAGAGATAAATATGATTTCAGTGTTCGACATGCATGCATGACAAGGTGACTGCAGAGATTGTTGAATGGAGAAATAAGACTGTTATATTCAGCGTATTACCTGCTGGTAGCGCGTTAGCTTTACAAAGGCTACTTAATTTATAACGTATCTTGCATCTTAGAATTATATTTGATTTATTTATCTGCTTAAAATTGCTTTATACCCCGATGTTTAAGTCTTTGCAATGTTCTTAGAATTATTTAAATGGACCCCACATAACAATGGTGCTTCATATACTGAACATGTTAGATTTTTAGTTTGGAGAAATATCTCAGCATATTGCCTTTTGTTTGCACGTTATTCTTGGAAAACTTATATTATCAAATGTCTTGCGTCCAATTATTATTTATATGATTTACTGGTTATCCACTTTTGCATATATGCTAACCTCATGAGCCACATAAGTTATAACTTAAGTGATTTTTTTTGACAGAATAAATATATTGTTTGGACATAAATGGCCAAGATTATGTTTATCTTATATAATTTGAACCACGGTTGGCTTAGTTCCTGATTTTTTGTTTCCAGTTAAATGAACCTATTATTAATAAAAGTGATTCATTGGCTTTAGATCTTGCTTACATGAACTTAAATCGTCTCACATTATAGTTTTTTATTTATTTATTATTTTTAAGAACATGATTTATCCATTCACCTTTTTATCTCCATCACTTCTTTCATTGACTTCTAAATTACATTTTTTTCTTTTATGTGATAGAGGGCTTGCTTCATATGCTGTTGGTGTATTGGGTAAGCTATGGATATAACAAGTCTTAAAAAATGGACACCTACCACAAAGCAAGAAGAAAGCAAACTAGAGAAGAAAAGCTACTACAAGTTTTAGTATATTGAAATGAAGATAAAGAAGAAAAGCTTCAATATTAAGAAAGCAAACTGAGCAAAGCAAGAGGCTTGTGGCCACACCATCCTTTGCAGCCTTAAAAAAACTGAATGGCATATCATTCATGATGTAGGGTCATGTTACCATAGCCTGACAACCTGTGGTTTATTGTTGCAATATCATAGATGCAACTATAGTTGCACTTAGCCAATGCTAAGTTTTTATTCCAAGTTGTGTGCAAGATTGAAGTTAGAATTGCTCAAGGGCTAGCATATGCTTTTGTTGTAGTTAGAAAGGTATTAAACTGATAAAAAAGAAATTTTTTTAGCTTTCCAATGCTATTAGTGGTTTTTAAAAAAAGTAGCGTTTTCTTTCTTTTCCCTTGTAGGTACAGTCCAAGAAGACCTGTTTTTGTTTTATGAGTTGTCTGAAATCTCTCCTCGTTTTTTTAATATCCCTGTCAGATAAGCAATCAGATAGTGTCACTTTGGGTGATAAAATTTGCAACAAGTTTTTTGGCCATCCACCAAGTCTTTTGAGTCTTTTATCTCCAGCGGAATGCCTCTTCCCGCTTTTTATACGTCTTCCTTGCACAGGCTCAGATGATCTCACTGGCTTAGGAGGTCTCCAATATATATATATATATATTCCTGCTAAGGTTATCCAACAATTATAGAGCCTAGATTCTTATCTGAATTTACATTTAATGTTCATTGTTGCTAAATGATGTTCAACAATTTACTTTGCAAGTAACAGCTACTTTTACCTTGATATATGGAATCCTTTCTATCTGTATATCAGTTTCAGTTGCAATTAACTTTTCTATTACATGTTGCTGACATTGAATTCCATATTATTTGTCTCCATGCAATTAATTTCAAAACGTTTAGATTTTGAGGCACTCTTCTACAAGATTGACATGCTGACATGGTGATAAAACTTGTAATGCCAAAAAACTGTATACCTTCCAATGTATCTTAGGGACTTTGGTGATGAACCATCCTTAGGGAACTTGCTATTTTCAACATACCTGAAATTAAATGAATATAAGAAAATTTATTAGCCTTTTAAAGGTAATAGAAAGATGACAATTGCCAAATTTAGCTACATTTACTTTGTGGTTGGTTCATCCCAATACTGGGCATTTCCTTCATTTGTTGAATAGATCTTTCCTTTCTTTGGAACCTGTTCGTAGATGCAGTAATGAAGCATGATTAATGGATCACACAGGCGAAGCACAGAGGACAGACCTAATGACGATTACTAGACATGTTCTTAATGAGCAGTCGAAGCACCCTGAAGCTCACGGCGACTTCACAATCTTGCCAGCAAAAGATATTAGCCCTATAGGTTTCTGCAAAATGCATAGCAGTGAAGCCATTAACACACAATCTACCACACATGAAGGAGTGAATTTAAATATGAAAACCTATAATTAGGTTTCATATAACATGGTATGATCAAAAAGATGAGAACTTGGTGTATAATTATGCTTAGGAAGCAATATATTCAATCTTTTATTTTCTTTACAACTTCAGTTTATAAGAAACAATATTACAATAAGAACATGGTTTGAATTATGCATGAAAGGCTAACAAAAATAGTCAGAGACCTAGGACGATCTATGTGGTATGGCATCATATGTATATGAAATATAGTCCAATGCTCACATAGATCAGCACAAGGAACTCTGAAAAACTAGACAATGAACATGGGAGTGTGTGTGCGTGTGTGTGTTTGTGTTAAAAACAGAACTACCTTCTCAAAGAGATCCAAACACTCTTGGTTGTCTTCAAAATCTACTTTTGTCCAATCAATTCCATCTAATTCATACTCCTAAAAACAAAATAAACAAGTTGCAACATTAATATACTGAGACATTCAGTTGTCCTCATCCAAACATTGTTGATAACAGATGCAATTAAATTGGAACCTTTATTTATTAAGGTCATTAATCACAGATGCAAATGAAAGACAGGGGAAAAGAAATTAAGGAAAACCTGAATAGATGCAAATGAACTACAAATAATAATAATAACAATAATTGACTAACCATGAAAGAGATTATACAAAGCAATTCAAAATAACTATACCAATGCCATGACCCATGAGCATAACAATTCAGCGAAGTAAATACATTTCAAAATAATGCAAATAACCATGGAGGCATAGCAACATAATGACAATCATAAATGCAAAAAATCCAAGAATATATGGAAACCTAAAAGCAGACTCTAAAAACATTAATTAAAACAAAAGACCAAGTTTGAAGTCATGCTCTCTCTCTCTCTCTCTCAATTAATCTATAACTAAGCTTGTTTAGTGTCCCAAATATTTGACATGATCTAATGGACTGACTCTAGTCTGGAAGGTTTGATGTCAAATCATACTAACACTATGTAAAGTTGATTTGCAATTAAGATGAATTCTTCTTTGAGGCATTTCATCAAACACCCTGTCCACCAAGGTTATTATATAAGAGCAACACAGTAGATATATATATATATATATACCTGTCCACCAAGGGATAATGGTCCATGTAACACAGGTGCAATGGAAAGGAAAGAAATAATATGTCAGGTAGTTCAAGTTAAAGCACTCCAAGGACCTCCATTTCAGAGCCAAAGCACTCAAACTCCCAAAACTGTTTACAATTTTAGTGAAGTTTATACCTATTAATCACGAATTGAATGTTGACTAATCATATTCTATAACGAATATACTTGAGAAATAAAGAAATAAAATTTCAAATCCAAATCGATTCGTGTAGTAATTTTCCCAAATTCAAAAGAAGAACAAACTCACAAAATTAGGCATAATCATCACAAAGCATCACCAACAAGAATTACAGACAAATATCATAGGGTTGTGTGTGTGTGTGTGTGTGTGTGTGTGAGAGAGAGAGAGAGAGAGAGAGCGATTGGGCGTTATGGTTACAGTGCCATTATGCTGTAGTATTCCTATCAAAAAAGGCATAGTTCCTACATATACTCCCCAAAAAATACTAAATGTAATACTGAAATTGATGTTGAACCGAGCATTCCCATAGTGAGCAGTTTAACAATCATCATAAAATTGGCATGTTAAAATTTTCAATGTATTAAACAAAATGATACGCTAAGACTAACCACAACCAACCCCAACCACACTATCCCCATCCCACCAATACCTCTTCTTCCCTCACTAAGGCAGAGTTCTCATCCATAAGGCAGGGTAGAACCTCCATAGTTTAAACCTTGGTACTGAAACAAGCAGATTAAATGAAACTCTTCTACAACTAAAATCTATATTAATTACATCTTCGTGTCAATGACTAACCATTGCGAAAATTAATGAAAAGAATAGAGCACACGTGCATGTACCATACATAGAAAGAAAAAGAAAGAAAGCAACTTTCACTTACTTTTCACAAGCACCCTTCCTAAACTTTTCAGCCTGACAAATTTTTGCACCTCTGTCACACCCTTCGTAAATGTAAATTTAACAATTCAAATTAAAAAAAAAAAAAACACTAACAAAATTAATGTCCCCTATTTATTGTGTTTTCAACATTATAAATTGAATGAATCAAGATATGAACAGGATATATAAGATATTGAATGAATCAACACTATAGGTATTACTTCGAAATCAGTTTGAGTAGGAGAATTATTTGATTCAGTATCTTCTTCACGGAAATGTGTATGAGTAGAATAAATAGGTTTACTAATTTGAGAGGTAGTAGAGTTATCATTGCCTTTTAATTTACTATGGGAGGGTTGACCAAGATTAATTTGACTATTTTTTCGGAATAAAGGAGTATTAAATATTTCATCTTCAGTTTCAAGATCAGTAGGTATACTAGAAGTACTATGTCTAGAAGATTGACAACGATTAAATTTAATACGGACTGAACCGTCAGTAAATTGTTGAATATCTTGGATATCTTGACTAGTGGATTGTTGTTGATTATGTTTGTAATTTTCATTAACCGTAATCCATTGATCAGGGAGAGCAATATTTTTCCATTCTATCATTTGAGGAATATTTATGTCAGTATCATTGTTACTAGTTTGAATCAGTAATGTTTTGTCCTTAGGGCTTTTATGTAAAGCTTGAACATTTAAATTGGTTTTAATACATTTATAATGGACACGGTAAATTAAAGCAATATTATGAGTTTTTTCTTTCATATTAGTAAATGAACCATTTAATTGAATATTTAAAGTTAATGCATCTAATATGTGTGGATCTCTAAGACTGAGTGTGAAATCAGGAAAACAATTAAAATGAATAGGTCTTTTGTGAAGACCAGTTTCCACCATACCCATTAAACTATCATTATAATCAAGAAAACGAGCATCTCTTAAACATAATAAAACAGAAGTATTATGTTTTCCTGATTGAATATTTAATTGAATATTGAATATTAACTTTAAATATTCAATTAAATGGTTCATTTACTAATATGAAAGAAAAAACTCATAATATTGATCTAATTTACCGTGTCCATTATAAATGTATTAAAACCAATTTAAATGTTCAAGCTTTACATAAAAGCCCTAAGGACAAAACATTACTGATTCAAACTAGTAACAATGATACTAATATAAATATTCCTCAAATGATAGAATGGAAAGATATTACTCTCCCTGATCAATGGATTACGGTTAATGAAAATTACAAACATAATCAACAACAATCCACTAGTCAAGATATCCAAGATATTCAACAATTTACTGACGGTTCAGTCTGTATTAAATTTAATCGTAGTCAATCTTCTAGACATAGTACTTCTAGTATACCTACTGATCTTGAAACTGAAGATGAAATATTTAATACTCCTTTATTCTGAAAAAATAGTCAAATTAATATTGGTCAACCCTCCCATAGTAAATTAAAAGGCATTGATAACTCTACTACCTCTCAAATTAGTAAACCTGTTTATTCTACTCATACACATTTCCGTGAAGAAGATACTGAATCAAACAATTCTCCTACTCAAACTGATTTCGAAGTAATACCTCCAATCAATCCTCAATTAATGACAATTAGTAAATCTTTTGCTGCTGATCTTGATAAATTACATGTCGAATTTAAATCTAAAGAAAATAGGACTAAAAGACATGCTTATCATACTAAATATGATTCTACTCAACAATCTAAACTTACTAGAAAATGGTATGATTTTATGATTGAATATAGTATGGAAATTCCTTTCTTTGAATATTTAGACAACTATTACAAAAAGGTTAATACAATCACAAAACATAAATGGAAAACTTCTCCAAATACTTCTGTTAGCTCTAGTCATCCTCATTTATCTAATATTATTATTGAACATCAAGGATCTGAAGTCCCAGCCTCTCCTTTTAAGTTGCCTGGCACTGACCCTGAAATTAAAAAAGTTATTGAACAAAATAATTATACTAATCAATGTTTAAAAACAATTGGTAAACAATTAGATAAACTAGAAACCAATTTCGATGATTACTCTGCTAACAATTCTTCTACCAAACAAACTTTAGATCAACCATTGCTTAATCTACCTAGTAATCGTTCCAAACGAAATAATTTAGTCACTCAAGATAATTCTATTGTTAAAACTATAGAACAACTATTCACTAAATTAACTACTTCGGAACAAGCTTCACCATCTAAGGAAAAAGGTCTTACTGTCCTAAACCAACCTTTAGACAAGACTCCTTTAGACAAGACTTCTACTCAATCAGAAACTGATACAACTGATAATGAAATTGATCAATTAGCTCAACAATTTCAATCTTCTAATATTAATAAACTCCACTATCCTAAACCTCAACCGACTACTCTTAATAAAAATTGGTATTCTCGACCTACTACACCTGACCTCCAATATGAAGAAACTAATCTTTCTAATCAATTTTCTGTATCTGCTAAAAAATTATATGAATGGAATATTGATGGTCTTAGTGAAGATCAAATACTTCAAAAATTAAATCACTTATCTATGGTTGCAAATAGTTTTCTTACTAACTACCCTGATTACTCTCAACCTGAAATTACTTCTTTAATTACCTCCGGTTTTACCGGTATGCTCAAATCTTGGTGAAAAAAATATCTTAATGAAGATCAACGC